GGGGGCGGGGCGGGCTGGGCTGAGCTCTGTGATTGGCGGGGGGGCCGGGGCCGGGCCAAAGGGAGGCCCTGCGGGACATGATGGGCAAAGTGGGCGGGAGCCTGGGGTTGCGGCAGGCTGACTGACGGAGGCACAGCGAAACACAGTGCGGGTGGTCTCGCAGCCGTCCCGGGGAAGGAAGTTCCAGGGGCTGCAAGGAGAGGCCCCAGGGGTGTAAAAGTGTGGGGGAAAAGGTGCGCCCTGGGGAAGCAAGGCGCGTGGGTGACCTGTTTGGTGGTGCTGTGAAGGGACTGCCAAGGAAAATTGAGATCTACAAAGAGCTTTCTGTCCTAGCCCTTTCTGTGTGGGAGCCCTAGGCAATGGCTGTCCTTTAGGTTCCTGGAATCTGGCAAGCTTGAGGGTTAGGTGTTAGAGCAAGTGCAGGACAGCACCATTGGTGGGACTGTGAAGGGGTTTCCAAGGGAAGGTGAAGAGCAGCAACAGCTTTCAGGGAGCAACAGCACCTTCCTTTTGGGAGAACTAGCTGGATGTTTGCCATTTCAGAAACAGGCTGTGCAGAAAATGAGAGTGATGTTGCGTCTCTAGGAAAGCAGACATCCCCAGTGCTGTTGTGCCTCTGAATAGGCTGCAAAGGGAAGGTGAGGGCCAGAAACACAACTCTGTCCTGGCACCTTCCTTTTGGGAGCCCTAAGCTGGAGGTTTGGGGTGCAGCCATGGACCCAAGACGGCCTCCCTGGGAAAGACCAGCCAGCCCACTCTGCTCCAGCAAATACTGGGATTTGAAGGAAATAAGTACACTCAAGACATCTCAGCAAAAGAAAATGAATTCTTTAAAAAATGCAAAATCATGAACCTAATCCAAACAAAAGCCTATATGTCAGTCTCAGGGCAGGATGGCACTCAATTTGAAATAAGTTCTTTTTAAATTTGTAATGGGCTGGTCACTTTCAAGAGCTCAGAGCTTGAATACCTGATGCTCTGTTTGATTTCAGTATGATAACAGCAGGAAGACTGCTCGGTCCCAAAAGGAGGTCATGGCCTGTCAGACTGCAGTGGTGTCAGTATGAAGTCTGCTTTGAACTAGTACAAGTTGGGATTCATACATTTTTATCTGGTGGGCAGACCCACCCAGCCACACACTCCTGCCAGCTGCAATTTCCAGGTTGTGGCTGAAGGCTCCAGAGCACACAAACATACAACCAAATCCAGAAGCATGGATACTACAGACTAAGCCTCTCCCTTACCCTTAAGATAATGCAATGTCAATGAAAATAAAAACCACTTCTGGCCAGAATTTTTGCTTCTAGTGTTCTGTGCCTAATGATGAAATTTTAAGAAGATGTTATTCTTTCAGAAGAAGACATAAAGCCTAGAAGAAATCAAGGGGAGGAGGAGAAAAAGAAGAGGGATTTAGATCTATTACTATTACCAGGGGGAGAAAGAAAACAAAAGAATGAAACACTGCCAACCCAGCTACATCCCCAGATTCACCAGCATTCATATCTATGTATCTTTAGCCACAGAAGATAGGAATGTAATTTGGACAGTTACAAGAAGGTAATTAATAGCTTAAAAAGAAAAAAATCATATGTATGTTTTTCATTATGCACAAAGGCAACCTAAAATGTCTTGTTAGGTCTTTTTTTTTAATCTTCCAGGTGCCTTTGACCTTTGAAATATTAAAAAAAAAAAAAAAAAAACCAAGTCTGCTTTAGCTCATTGTAGCAAGAGTTTTGTACACATCTTAGTCCCCAGGCAACATTTTCATCTATGCATGAAATCAGGAGGGAGCAGTCAGCTGGGAACAGATGTTGGTGTTAATTATTTTATTCTCCAAATAATTGTGCAAGCTGTCATGAATTAGGGAGCACCAAGATACAGTGCTTACTTCAACGTGACTCTAAGCCCCCTGCAGCTAACCTTAGTAAAGACATGAAATGTATTGCATTACACAAGGCTGCAAGGATTGCAACTTAGCCAAACCTGACTCGGCTCTGTTTAGCTGGCAAATGTAAACCTTACAGATAATCCTGTGAGTAGTTCCCAGTGGTCCTGACGCTGACTCCTAGGTCAGGCTCTATTAACCCATTAACTCACAAGGAGCAAGTTAGATACTTCTGTAAGATGGTCCTAATCAGACCATTGTGCATCTTTTATTGTGGTAACATGCACTGCTGAAGTGCTCTATCCCCTCTGCTAACCATGTTTCTTCAGCTAATGGCATAAGGTGATTCTGCCTCTCATGGCTGCAACTGTAGTCATCTGCAGGCCTACAGTGTGGCCTGTGCTTCTGTAGCAACTTTTCACTGCTCAGCAAAGGTAAGTCAATTTTTTCCATGTAATTGAAATATTTTTAATTCTAAAAAATTATGAGTATCATCAGCACAGACCACATGTGCTGTAAGACCTCCCTTGTAATTGATTCTGATCCTTGTAATCCAAATAAATCAAAATCATCAATGACACATCACATTTATCTGTGCCTCAGCAGACTGAAATAATTTCAGCTTACCACGATGGATATGTAGCTCTTGAATTAAATACATTTTGTTATCTTACCCCAACCCTTCAAGACTTCCTGGCTTCTGTACATGCAACATGGCATTTGTAGCAGCTTTTCTTATTAAGTACACTTATGTTTCATTATTTTTACTTTCATCTATTTTTTAACAGATTTTAATGATGGCAAAGCACCGTACCTTAAACCTGGATCTGGTCTGGAAACCTGGCTGTCTCCAGTATAATTTTGTGTTGTTCTGTTTTGGCATATTTATTTGAATTCATTCAGTTTCTCAAGTTGCTTAGTTCAAACAGTTTTAATGCAGACAAGTGATTCTCTTTGTTGTCTTGAAACAGAATTATTCTGCTTATTGGAATTGAATTATTCAAGACCTTCAGAGCACAAATTCATTGGGTGCAGTCTCAGTTGCTTGAGCAGATGTTTTCACAGTTTGCTTGCTAGTCAAAACACCACTGCAGTTTCATTTTAAACAGGACCAAGTCCATTTGTTCTCTTCCTTCATGTTATCTCCATGATACCTGAAAATGAAGGTTTCCACTTCCTAGTTAGGATGTAGGCACAGGTAAGTCAGTGTCCCACAGCAACTTACCACTGATGGCCTGAGTGGCAAAACAAATTGGTAGTATGTGAACTGAAGAACAGCTCCAAAATGTAACTTTTTGTAGATAGGTAATTGTATGCATGTTTCTATGCCAGGGAACCGAGGGCGAGAGCAAAGCAGGCAGGGCAGGGCCCTCCCTGATGAGGGCACCTTCCCATGGCACCTGAGCAAGGTGAGCAGGACAGGTCCTGTGACAGCAAACAGGGTCGACCAGATCATTAGACAGGTCTTCAGTGATGACTCAAGTCCAAGGTTGTCAAGCTGGAAAACTGAGTCGGGATTAGGGTCCAGATCAACAGGGAGCATGGCCAGGTGCAAGGCAGCTGCAGGAGGGCACTGAGGATGACAGCCTCAGCTTAAAAGCTACTCCCAAGCAAAGCAGGGAGCCCCACTGGGGCCTTACAACACAGCTTCCCGCAACAGACCATTTCAAGGCCAGACGCCTGCACTCTGTGTCTAAGCAGTCCCAGAGGTCTGGCAGCCAAAAGCCCAGGAGGGGTAGAGGGAGGATATCCTCAGGGCCCTGACAGTGTACACACGTACACGTGCGCAGACTCATGTAATGGCCACATTTACCATTCTGTGAGAAGATGCAGGAACAGTGAAGGTCCTTACCAAATGCAGTGTCCAAAAGGGTATAGGATTTTTTGACACGAACGAAATGTTGCAAAACTGTGTAGTGTACATTACTGATCAGTGAAAATCACCAAGTAATTTCACATACTGCGAATAAGCCCATGCCTTGCCACATCCTCCTTTTCTTACATGTTCCAGACCACTCCTGTCTCCCAAGCCCTTATTGCTATGAGTCAACCATCTCAGCCACTGTTGTTATACTGAGTAACACCAAGCTTTGCCAGCACAGTAATGTCTCAGACTTTGATCTGGTTTGATCTTTGTCCATTCTTAAATACTTTCTCATGAAGATATGGTAGCAATTCAACAGATATTTAAACAGAACAGAGTGAGTTGCCATGTTTTGCCCTGCTTTTTTTAACCAGATAAAATGGTCACTACTAACCTCACTTGACTGAGTTGTCAACACGGTTATCAGCCTATCCTGTGGCAGTCAGACCTAGCAGAGAACATATGGTGTGCATCTGTGATTGCAACAGCAGAAAGATGTTTCGGGACAATAAATATGCCCCTCTTCTCCTAAACAATATCAGTTTTAGAACTGATTATTCACTTTTAGTGTATTAATTTTTCTTGAGTGGGACAAGCATTTTGTTTTTAAATTAATTGATTAAGGAATTGCAAAATGATCACTGAGAACGTCACAGGTTTTGCTTAGATTTTATGAATCAAAACAAGCATACCTTTCCAGTGCTCTGTCAAACTAGCTAGACTTTACAGTCTCCTTGGAAAGTGAACACTTGTAGATGCCATTTAATCAGTAAGTAATCTGTTATTGCTTTAGAAATGACACAATGACAACTTTTCAGGTCGTGAAAACCCACCTAACTTCCCCAGATCTGATCCAAGAATTCTTCATGGCTAGGGTTATGCTCCCAGTGTCTGGTATTACTATTTTGCACACCTGAGATAGTCTTACCTATTGTAACATTACCTCCGAAAAGATAACCAGGGGACCAGGTGAACATGAGCACT